CATACCATACACATACATACATACATACATGCATGCATGCATGCATGCATACATACATACATACATACATACATACATACATACATACATACATACACACATACATACATACATACAGACAGACATACGTACACACATACATACATACACACATACACAGATACACACATATACATACATACATACATACATACATACATACATACATACATACATACATGCATACATGCGTGCATGCATGCATGCATGCATGCATGCATACATACGTACATACATACATACATACATACATACATACATACACAAATACAGAAACAAATAACTAAATACATAGCATGTATATATATATATATACACATACATATAGTACGTGTGTGTATATATATTATATATATATATAATTATTTATAGCTTTATTTAAGTATTGACAAACAAATATACACATGCATCTTTGTGACGAACTGAGCACGGGAATAAAACACAATTGCAGAAACTAGACCGGAGGCTTAGAGCCGCAGAACAGAACCAAAATCGCGCAAACAATACATGCAGATAGCAAGAATGTCAGAACTGTGACTTGCAGATTATCACCAGCCAATGCGGTATTGGCAACCACACGAAGCAACCAGGCAAAAAAGAGGAGACAACATAGTTACTAACATCAATGTCCTGACAGCGAGAACGAACGTCCAGCAGTAGTGCTGGACAAGATCGGGGTTTGTCTGTGTGTGCGTAATAGCGCGTGTGCATGTATACACAGCTGCATGGATGTATCCTGTTGGGCAGTGTTTACGAAGAGTGTGCCTTCTCCACTTCGTCCCAACCGAATGGACTGCACATTGCACCCTTTTCAGGTGTTCTGGACTCTGCCGTGGACTTTCGTGGTACAGAAGCCCTTGGCATGTGGTGTGGCTTAATGCTCGTCTTAGCCTTGGGTGCCAGCTCTTTCCTTTTTCGCATGTGCATGAGTGCGAGTAGCACGGTGACCCAGTATGACCATGCTGGGCGGAGAGTTCTCAAAATTCGCTCGCCCAGCATCTCCATCCACGATGTGTGCATCCGGCACTCCGGCCTCCGCGTGGAGGTGGATCTGGGCCACAGGGCCACAAAGCCCCGGTTGGTCCGGGCCCAACTTCGCTCGGCGGGTTTCGAGGCCTTCGAGTTCCGGCAGCATGAGACGGTGATGGAGGACGGCTTCCTCTACCTGCGTTTTGTGGACTCCGCGGAGCGGAAGTACGAGTTCCCGTTTCCCGAAGAGGACACTCGCATGCCAGGGGGCGATCGCACGCCCAGTGAAAGCACGCAGAACAGCTACGAGTTCGTGGCTGATGCGGCTGAGGAGGCCGTCGACGGAGCAAATGAGTAGGGACCCCTCCAGTCTTGCTAAGCTGATGGAGTTCGCAGGATGTCTTGGCCTAGATGTCCGCGCACAAAGACGTGGTGCTAGCCCCTCCGTCCTGGAACGGTTCGGGGGGCAAGCTCGTGGGCAGCTCACCTCGGTGTATGAGCGGATATGGACCCAGCGAATCTGCTATCCTCAATGCCGTGAACCTTTCACTCCAAGCCGTAACACAGACATACACAACTGAGCTGTATGGTTCCGCACGCAAAAAGCATGGTTTGGGCATGGAAGGGAGGAAATTTTCGCAGAGGCGCAGCGGCAGCCTCGTCTTTGAAGCCACGAGGAAAACACATCTCCTGCCCGGCTTGCCAGGCGTCCCCCCCAAGCAAAACCAAAATGCATGCCTAAACCCTAAACCCTAAACCCCAAGTAAAACCAACACACACGCCCCCCTCCGGAACCTTAAACTCGAGAGCCTCGAGCTCAGAGTCTCGCAACGTAGATCTCAAGAGGTTTAGGGTTGAGGGTGTAGGTTCTGATCGTTTTAGGATTTGTAGGGTTTAGGTTTTAGGGTAAACCCTCAACCCTACACCCTGAACCCTCAACCCTAAACCCTAAACCCTCAACCCTATAAACCCTCAACCCTAAACCCTAAACCCTATAAACCCTCAACCCTAAACCCTCAAACCTATAAACCCTCAACCCTAAACCCTAAGGGAACCCCTGAGCTGTCCGTACAGACCCTGGAGTTGGCAGCTGCGCAGGCTTCCGGCCCTGCGACGTTTCTTCGGGTTCGGCGGCTTCCCAGAGGCCCCCGGTGGAGCTGAACGACGAGTTTTCGGGTGGTTTTGGGGTTTGGGGGGTTTCGGGGTGTTTCGGGTGGTTTTGGTGGTTTTGGGGTTCAAGGGTTTCGGGAGATTTCGGGTTTTATGGGTTTAGGAGTTTAGGATTTAGGGGTTTAGGTGTTTCGGGATGTTTCCGGGGGTTTATAAGGGTTTCGGAAGATTTCCGGTTTCGGGGGGTTTAGGGGTTTTAGGGGTTTAGGAACCCTAAACCCTAAACCCTAAACCCTAAACCCTAAACCCGGTTTAGGGTTCCGGGTTTAGGGCTTTAGGGCTTAGGAGTTTCGGGTTTTGGAGCCGGGGCCTTCGAGTTTCAAGTCGTAGGAATCCAAGATGAGTGCCTCGTCTCGAACGTACCCAGAGAGTTCAGGTTTAGGGTTTAGGGTT